ATTTTCATTAATCAAGCAATCCATACTATTGAGTATTGCTTAGGCTGTATTTCAAATACTGCATCATACTTACGTCTTTGGGCCTTGAGTCTTGCACATGCTCAACTTTCTGAAGTGCTATGGTCAATGGTGTTTCATATTGGTCTTTCTATGAAAGGATATGGTGGATGTATTGCTGTATTTGTGCTTTTTGCAGCCTGGGGGAGTAAGTGATTTGATCTAATCTTTTTATTAATCTTTGTAGGTGATAATTGATTATCTTTAATAAAAAGTTTAATTTCAAAAACAGCTTTTTTTGAGGAGTTAGTATAAATTTGCTTAGTTTTGTTAGACATTTTTAATAATATAAATCTCTTAAGACCGAAATTCTTTACTAAATTGGACAATAAATTATTATGAACCGCTTAACAGTTGTAAAGTTTTAATTTACAACCAAAAAATTTAGAAACTAAATCAAGGTTAGTTGTTAATAAAACATGAAGTTGCTCATTCAAAAACTTGATAACATTAAAAGTTCAATAAAGGTATTTTGTTGCAATTTCATTGTATATTGAATAACAACATCAATGAGTCAATGTTAACCAATTGTGTTTGAATTACATAGAAATGTACAAGCTACTTTTGAGAGTTTATTATTAATTATTTAATGTACAATATAAAGTAATTACTTATATATGTTGTTTCTTTTTTATGATTACATTTTCTTAACATGTTTATAATATAGGCCAGGTCAGGCTTAGGATCATCACAATTACTGCTGTTATGTTACCCAGTGCTACCTTCCCCATACCCTTCTGCCTTGTAGGGTTTGTTTTCTTAGACAAAAGCTAGGATAAATAAATACTGATTGGCTGAAATGAAAAATATTGAAAAGTAGACTATCAAGTTTTTTTCTGTACGATCAACTTTAATTTTTGTAAAATAACCAAAGTTTTGTAACTGTAACACTTAATGCATTACACTTTTTGAGTTTGTGCACTATTTTATAGGGTGGTATAATGTTTATCATGTTAATATCATATATATATATATATATATATATATATATATATATATATATATATATATATATATATATATATATATATATATATATATATATATACACACACACACACACACACACACACACACTCACTCACAGATATATATATATATATATAAATATATATATATATATATATATATATATACACACACACACACACACACACAGATATATATATATATATATATATATATATATACACACACACACACACACACACACACACACACACACAGATATATATATATATATATATATATGCAGGGCTCAATTTAATGGTTGGACATCGCCGCCCTTCAGACCATTTTTGACACTTGCTAGAGGATGGCGACAAACCATTGTTGATTTTTTCATTAAAAATGAACGAGCAATGATTGCCCCCAATATTTAGATCTCAAAAACTGTCGGAGGGGCAGTGGTGAGTGACCGGGGCCCCAGAAAAAATGAGACTTTTTTCAAACCCGGCTCCGGCTAAACTATAAGATTTAGCCGGGGCCGGGTTTTTATTTGAGGTGTAAGAAAAAAACTGGATTAATAAAAGTTTTTGTAGCATGTAGGGAAAGTTACAGTAAAAGGATACAACTTGTTCAATGAGAAACAAGCAACAATCAGTTTTGGTTTATTGTTATAGAGATGATAACTTGTTTGAGCATTGGCCATGATTTTATTTGTAGAAAAAAGAAAGAAATGCAACCTTACAACAATGGAAGAGTGGCTCAAGCTTGGGAGATAAAGCATGTCTAATTACATTTACAATGTGCTTTTAAACTTTGTCTGAGGGGTAAGAAGGTTGTTATTTATCAATATAGGAATACCAACAATTTTGCAATATTTTTGCACTAAATGAATGAGTTTTGTTTTCTAACAAAAGTTGTGGATTTTAAATACAGACTTAAAATCCACAAGTTACTGCAAGCCTTAGGCTGTTACAGAAAAAAGTGAAGACTATTTGTCAAAAGAAGAGTATTAAGTTGAGTCTTCAGGAATTAGAGACACTTTAGATTTCATGAAGATTGTTATTGTAGATAAGAAATAATGCAGGAACAAAGGTAGAACCTTGTGGTACCCTTAAAGTACCTCTTAAAGTAAAACCCTTAAAGTACCCTCTTGTGCCATCTACTAAAATTCATTCTCATGTTACTCCTCATTCAATCAAGTCTCATCCTTTTTCTGTTACTGTTCCTAAGTGCTCCAAAAACTTATATTCGTCTAGTTTTTTCCCTCGAACATCAGTTCTTTGGAATTCGCTTCCTTCATCTTGCTTCCCTGATTCATATAATTTGCAATCTTTTAAGTCGTCTGTCAATCGTTATCTTGGTCTACAATCTTCATCTTTTCTCTTCCAGTAACTTCCAACACTAATTAGTGGTTGCTTGCAGCCTTGTTGGAAGCGAAGATAATTAAAAAAAAAAAAAAAAAGTTACTTGGAATAAAGAAGATGGTAGGCCTTCAAGAATAACTTTATTATTGCAGTTAGAAAAAAATCATTTTAATAACCTCAAAATTTTTATACAAAGAAACTAATAACATAGTAAAAGATAATTGTAGGATAGCTGGAGAGGTCAAAGTGTTTTCTAGAGTTTTGAAAAATTAGAACCACTTATTTAGCACTTTAGAAAAATTTAGCAATAGTTGAAGAGAGTTCTGGAGAACGCTTTTTAAAGACTATGATGTAAATCTATTTTGGTGCACAAACTGTAGAAGTATTAAATTAAGAACTTTAGCATTGGAAGCCAGGCTGATTTGAATAACAATGGGTTAATCTGTTTAACTGTCAGGAAGAGTACGGTCATTATATTCAAGAGTCAAATTAGAATAAAGTTTCTTTGCAAATAACTCTGCTTTATTGTTAAGTAAAAAGATCCGACACTTGAACTAGAGAAAAAATGTTAGACTTAAATTAATGACACTGTTCAAGACTAACCAAAAGTCTCTGAAACTTAACATCTGAGATAAAATACAAGATTTAGTAAACAGAAAATAACAGAGCTTAACATCAGACAGGACTTCTTTAAATTAGCTTTTTTGCAATAATAAAAGGACATTTGTTTTTTAGGAGAGATGTTCTTGTAAAAAAGATAAAAAAAACGATTAATGTTTAATAAAACAGCTGCTCAAAATGGTAAAAAATGTGAAGTACAATAAAGCTTCTCTATCATCATCATCATGATAATGATGATTATGAAAATCATAATGATTTTTATATATGCATATATATGCAAAATATAACATAAATTTTGAATAAAAAAGTATACTTTAGATTGTATAAATATTTATACAACCCCTGTCACAAACCCTGCCCTAGCTATATTTAATCAAACCCGGCCCCGGCCCCTGGACAAATATCAACCCCAGTTCTATACTATATATATATATATATATATATATATATATATATATATATATATATATATATATATATATATATATATATATATATATATATATATATATATATATATATATATATATATATATATATATATATATATATATATATATATATAAAGCTTTTTCACTCGTCTCACATAAAAAAATTTGAGACAACTTAGCTAAAAGCAAAATTAAAAGGAAAATAAAAGGAAGCATATTCCAAGTTTTTTATACATTTATATTTATATTCATTATTATCAGAAGAATAATCTTCTGATAATAATGAAAATTTTATATATATATATATATATACACACACACACACACACACACACACACACACACAGTGTTGGCGAAAAGTATTGCAACTTTTCTAAATTTAACATTTTTATAAAACTCGAAATGAATTTGATGTTTATATATCATATATTCATACAAAAATGGTAAAACGAAACAGCACACTATGTAAACATAAAACTATGACGTCATTATAGTTAAACGTGCTGCGTTATAGATTTTTCTTACGAAACCATACTTAGGAATAGTAAAGAAAATTTTCATTTTTTTTCGCTTTTTGAGAGGTATAGTTTAATCATAATAGATCTGGCAAAGGAGATTTCACCAAGAAAACGTGCGATTATTATTCAATATTCGAAGGATGGTATGAAGCAGCGAGATATTTCTAAGATTGTGTTTAACTAAGTCTTCAGTTATTCAAATAATTGAGAAATACAAAGCTTCCGGGTCAGCATCACCACTGAAACGTTCTGGTTGCGGTGCGAGTACGCAAACAATACGTGACCGACTGTGTTCGTTTGGTTTAAGAGCTCGACGTTCATCCCGCAAACCTCTGCTATCTAAGCATCATCGACAGAAAAGAGTTCAGTTTTGTAATAAATATAAGGACTGGAATGCAGAAAGATGGTCCAAGGTGTTGTTTTCCGACAAGTCTACATTTCTGCAGTTTGGATTTGTCACGCAGTATGTACGTAGACCAGTTGGATCTCGAGATGATATTCATTACACCTTGCCGACAGTTAAACGTTCACCCCAAATTATGGTTTAGGGATGTTTTTCAGCAATATGGCAAGGGTCTCTATACTTTATACCAGGGAAACAGATAGTAAACTCCGTTGAATACCTAAAGATTTTAAATTCAAAACTACCCCTAGCCATGCGCTTGCATTGTTGTGAACTGTTTCAACAAGACTTGGCACCATGCCATACCAATTGAGTTGTAAAAAAGTGGCTAACTGACAATGGGATTCAAGTTCTGGACCAGCCAGGCAACAGTCCAGATTTGAATCCCATTGAATTGAAAATCTAATATCAGTCCAGATTTGAATCCCATTGAATTGAAAATCTCTGGACAGTAATGAAAAGAAAAGTAAAAAAATATTACAGTAAAAGCATTGAAGAACTCATTTACAACATTAAAAAGGTGTAGTGCACCGAAATCACCCCGGATCTTTGTCAAAAACTAGTTCAGTCGATGCCAAACCGTATCAAATGTGTGTTGAAAAACCATGGACAGCCTTTTAAGTACTAGATATTTATATATGAACACTTCTTTTAATAATACTCTTGTGTATTTATTTAATGTGTGTTTTTTTTAAAAAGTTGCAATACTTTTCGCCAACATTGTATATATATATATATGTGTGTGTATATATATGTGTGTGTGTGTGTGTATATATATATATATATATATATATATATATATATATATATATATATATATATATATATATATATATAATATATATATATATATATATATATAT